GAATGGTTGACATCATTTATGGTCAGGCTACATGGGAGAGCAGTAGACCCATGTGTCAGAGTGGAATTGCTTCCCAATCCCTATAAAGAAAAGGGGCAACTTAAAGTGCAGTTAGGCAAACAGAACAGAATCACCGTGCTTTTCTGCTGTTGGTGCAGATGCTTTTATTGGTAGGGCTCCAAAGCCAGAAGTCAAGAGAAGTGGCAGATCATCTGCTCTGCATGTAGAATGTTCTGGGTGCAATTCCTGGCATCTCCAAGTAGGTTTGAGAACCATGCCTGTGACCCTAGAGAGGCACAAGAGCCAGTGCGGTGTAGTGGTTAAGAACGGTAGACTCGTAATCTGGTGAACCAGGTTCGCTTCCCCGCTCCTCCACATGCAGCTGCTGGGTGACCTTGGGCTAGTCACACTTCTCTGAAGTCTCTCAGCCCCACTCACCTCACAGAGTGTTTGTTGTGGGGGAGGAAGGGAAAGGAGAATGTTAGCCGCTTTGAGACTCCTTCAGGTAGTGATAAAGCGGGATATCAAATCCAAACTCTTCTTCTACTGATGGTCAATCTACTGAGCAAGATGGTCTGACCAGTGGCGTAGCGTGGGGGGTGCAGGGGGGGCCGGCCGCACCGGGCGCAACATCGGGGGGGGGGGCGTGCTCGCCGCCTCCGGAGTCGCTGATGAGCCTCGGGCGCAGGCTGTAGCAGAGCCCCATGTCTCATGGAACCGACGAGCTGGCAGCGGCTCTCAGCGTTCGCCGCGGTCCCCGCGCGTCAGGGCCGTGGAGGGCGCTCCAGGCAGCCCCTCCTCACAGCCCCGCCGCCGCCGCTGCAGCTGCTGGGCCATGTTGCATTTTCCTCGCCTCTCTGCCCTCCTCCTCCTCCAGGCAAGCGGCGTCGTTTGGGCGGCAGCGCCAGTGGCAACTCGCCTCAGATCACCTGACACAGACCCGCCACTGCCGCCGTGGCTACCTTACCGTAAATACCCCAGCCCAGGCAGCAGCAAGAAGAAGCTGGCAGCGGCGGCAGGTTAGGTGTTAGGGGGCGCAAATTACTTGCCTTGCCCCGGGTTAGGGGGCGCAAATTACTTGCCTTGCCCCGGGTGCTGACAACCCACGCTACGCCGCTGGGTCTGACTCAATATAAGGCAGTTTCCTTGGCTATATCTGCTGGGGGTTTGCCTGAGACTCTGGAGAGGCGATGCCAACTGGGTACCAGCTAGATGAACAAACAGACCAATCTGGTGTATAGAAGCTTGTGTCATCTTCAGCTGTATTTTGCCCCTGAGGTCCTGTGGAGTTTCCTGAAAATGTAGCAGGAACAGCAGGTTATTTTCCCCCCGTCTTGAATTAAATAATACTTTGCGAGACATTAAAGAGTTCAGGGTAATAAATGGATTAACATTTGAAAGCAGAAAGATGCCTTCAACCAAAAGTTCAGGTGAGTTTTTTATTTTATTTTATTTATTTTTAAAGCCGGAAGGGGTCTTGTCATGTCACAAAGGGAGCCGCCACTCTCTTTTCTTACAATACCCAACAGCAGAATGGAACCAAATGAGCTGTAGCCTTTGTGTAGGTGGAATACTGAAAAACAGTACAATAAAAGGCCGACAATTCTCCTTGGAATGAGCCTTCATTAGTATCTTGGCAGCATGCCCACGTGCCACAGAAAAACTCACATTTGGTTCACACTTTTTCTTCAGCATGGCTAAGAGCTGATGGCTGCAGACACGTGACGGCATCTTTGGCATACGAGCCGGAATACTGGATGGGAGATGGGGACCGACTTCTCAGTTTCTCCAGTGAGGCAGAGAATTGTTTGAAATTTTAGCCTAGTTAAAATTCTTGCACCAGAGCCTTCTCTCAGCCTGGCCCCATTTTCTTCTCTTACAATTATTCTGCTTCCAGGGAGAAATGTTTACCCAGTTTGGCATCTGGGAAAGCGATTGGAATTTCCAAATATAAAGGATGTTGTTGATAAGGCGAAGACAAAATAATGCTGTTTTGATGCTGCTGTTTGGTTTTTGGAATGTAAAACTACAGAGCTGCCAAGCTCTATGAAGGCTTGGAACAAAATTTTGACTGACAATTTTAGACATCGGCACTGGGGCTGCATTTATCAGATGTCAACTTCCAAGCATAAAACTAATCACTAAGGAGAAAGATAGGAGGGCATTAGGACCCTTCTCTCACTATGTTAGATTTTTTCCTAATCTATTGCTCAAATTATTTTTTGACATTTGGAAATTATATTTTTCAGTGTGCGTGTGGGAAGTCTAAATAGTTCTTCCATATCTAAGAAGCTGATTTTTAAAAAAAATATTGTAAGAATGCTTTTGTCTCATGGCCCAAATCACTGGCAACACCACCTTGGTGTGTTTTGATGGCCACAACAACTATTTGTGGTTGAACAATCTGCAAAGAGAACCTATGATGTGATGAGCAAGACTTAAGCATGCAATCTTTGGTGACAAGGGGATGCTCCATATAGTACCAAGAGAAACTATGCATTTTCTGAAATAACTCTATAGTGCAGGGATGGACTTTGGCATTTCAAATTTCAGTGGCATTTCAAAATTCAGCACCCCCTGCCTCATGCCTTCTGTTCTGCTTAATTCAATACATCGTAGTTGCAATGCCCTGCAGCACCCCCTAGATGGACTGGGCCTCAAATATTACTGGATATATTTTAAAGAGCAATACAATGAATGTTTTAATGGGCATTGTGAACATTTTTCACTCTGGCAAAGAAGTGGGAATCGGCCCTAAGGAAGAAGCCTAAGTGAGAACTCTATGTATGAATGACATAACATTTGATAGACCACTAGCAATTGTATTTTCTACAGGTCCATGAGACATGACATAATGCATGCCTAATTTTTAAAAACCAAGCTTTCTCTTTTTTAAAGACTACATATACTCTAAATATCTACCCATGCAGGCTAAATCTTACTCATATCAGCAGTTTCGTACAACTCTATGGAAGTAAAATAGTGCCCTCTAAAGGAATTCTGTTTGATTACAGTTCATTAAATAGCTTTTTCCGTTCTAATTCCTTGTCCAGGAAAATAATAAGCTAGAAACTAGAAAGAGGCACCATTATGGAAAATGTTCCAGATCATTTCAAGTTGGTGGAATGAAACAGACTCTCCTCAACATTTAACCAGTCATACAGTTAGTAAGATGTGCAATTTATTTAAAGAAAGGAAAGATGAATTTCACACAGCCATTGGCAATTAAGTCAGTTTTAGGGAATGCTTTATTCCCCAAACGACTTATTTTTGTCACCAGAAATTCTGATGAGTTAACAGAATGGGAGGTGGTTGGTGGAGAGTTCTGATGCCAGAGTGGGGTGCATAAAATTGTGCCTCAAAATCATATACTCTTTGAATATGTGATCAAATTTTTTTTTGCCAAGGTGTCATTTAAACAAACCATTTATTTATAGAGTTGTGGTAGTTAAAAGTGACTCTGCAACTGCACCCTTTGTTATGAGGCCTGGTTAACTGAGCTGCTGCACCTGTTAATCTTTGTTATGAAGAACAAGTCTGCAATCACTTGGGTATGTATTTGTAGGCTTGAGTTTGTCTCTTTACAGGTCAGCCTTCTCCGACAATAAACAAAAAGACGATACCAAGAAAATGACGATTCCAAGAAGACACCCATCACCACTCTCTAGGATCTGCACTCCAAACGGAATGAAACTCCTCAAGAAGAGTGAACATCATGCAGGTCTTTGAATCAAATCCCAAATGCACCAGTGTGGAAAACTCACCATCCTGCTGGGATAGCTCAGTTGGTAGAGCAAGAGACTCTTAATCTCAGGCTCATGGGTTCTAGCCCCATGATGGGCAAAAGATTCGGGGTCCCTTCCAACTCTACAATTCCATGATTCTGTGAAACATTTAGTAAGATCTGTTAACCCTTATTGGAATCTGAACACATTGCTTAGTACATGCAGGTCCTGATACATGTGCAAGGACTGTCCTTTTTTAGGACAGAAGATACAAGGCCAAATTTCGAGTCCACCGCTAGAAGCAGTTTGAACTTTATTGGGAAGGAGATTTTCTTATGGATTGTTCCCAGTGCAGGATTTCCCACAGACGCATTTCTCGTTGGAATAACTTGGGTACCACTCTCCCACAACTAGGGTGGAGTAAGCATATTTTAACTGGTGGAGCCAACAGTTGCTGTTAGCGTTCATTTTGCAAAGGCTTTGAGAAAAATCAGATACGGAAATGGTAAAGCTAAAAAACCCCAAAAAGCTCAATATAAATACCTACTTCTTTCTAAATATATGTACCATTGAGAGTTATATTAACGCAAAACAAATATGTGGATGGATTTCTCATGCAAACTGCAGTTAATCAAATCTACTGTGTGTATCCTAGCAACATGCTAGTAGCCAGCTGACAAGAGTACCGAAGGACGGCTTGCTTTTTTTGTACAGATATCACTCAGATTTTATTACTGACTGAAAGAAATAATTTTATTGGATGAAGGATACATTTGGTCTGGAGAAAAACGGAAGTTTCTATGTTCTGTGCTTCTTTGTGTTAGGAATAAAGGGGGTCAGTAAAAGTGAAAGGATATTTTCTTCTAATAAGTGCCATTAGAAAACAAACAAAATATGGCACGTGCCTATTTCAGAAGTCATAATTTTGATTTTTGAGCGCTATGCTATGTTGGCATTTTATGCATGTGCAGCAGCACATACCTCTGCAACCAACTGGTATCCCATGTGTGGTGAAAGGAATCTTTACATGCTCGTTCAGTGAAAAATGCTTTCATTAGTAAAATTAAAAGATGTCAGAGACAGAAATGTACAGGAGGGCATCAGCGTTGGAAGTAGAATGTTGGCGTTTCACACTGTTTCAGCCTGATCACATGGGACTGTTATTACGTAAAGTCTTAATGTAACCCTTCCCAAGCTTTGGATAAGGTGGGAAAGGTATGGAGAGGTCTAAACACTTTTTTTTTTTTGGAAACAGATATGATCTACACAAACCCATCACAGAAATATTTTAATATAAATCATTCTGTTAAAAAAAACACCCAAGCATTGTTCCAAGGTAGAACTTTTGACACAAAATATAAAGTTATAAAAACAAATTAAACATTACATAATAAATAGATATTAAAAATCAGTACAGATGGTAATATTTTTATAGCATTAGCTCTAAAACAATTCTTTTAAAATACATACTATATTCTTCTGAATCATAAAAATGCTTTGTTTTATATTACAAGAAAAAACATTATCGCCCTTTAGTGTTGCATTAGAAATGCAAAAGGTTTTCAGTGCTAAGAAGCTCCCTCTCGAGGCTACAGGCCACACATCAGCTGCTGGGACCCTGAAGCTGCTGCACAAGGGGGTGCCAACAGGTGACAAGTGGAAGACCACAGCGAAACACTTGTCAAAAGTTCCCACCAGCTCTCACAGGCGGATCACAAACAAATGTCAAGATGGAGTTCATCACAACGTCTGCTGAGATTCTGACTGGAAACTTGGTCAAGTGCCATCTATATCGCAGAGCAGAATACTAAAATCAAACCTCCACAATAGCTATTTGCGCTGCCCCCAAAATCCACTGTGGTCTTTCCCACAAGGTTTCAAAAAGCCTGGCAACTAAACTAGTAGCTGAGGAGATTGGCAAAAACCGAAGGGTACTTTGGAGCTGTACGGACCCACGACTTGCGTCAAGCCAAGATGGCATCTCTAAAAAATCCAGGTTAGCCAGCAAAAAATGAAAATGGCAACTGGTAGCTACATAGCGTAATAGCCATGACCCAAATGGACAATAACTGTTTCTCACTGTGGAATTGTTTCCTAATTCGATTCTGTAGCAAATGATAGTGTGTTTTCCTTCTTTGCATTGCCTTTAACCTCATTCTAGAACACCAGTGTCTGTGAGCACTTATTCAATATCTCTTGCCCCAACAAAGTCACTGGCAGATTGAGTTATCTGTTTAGATGGATGCATGCAAGGGGAGCGGGGCCACAGAGGCACCAAGTTTGAGTCCCTGTCCCTCTCTCCTACTCAACAGTTGCCATCAGAGGCTGAAGCAGCCTCCTTATCATCACTAGGAGATGCTATTGCAAGTGCTCATAAGGCCTCTGACAGGCCTAAAGAGGTCAAAAGCTTTAGGGTGGCAAAGTTCACCATGCACACCAAAGTGAAGAGGCTATTTTTCATCTCTCAGCAGCTTTTTGCACTTTATGTGGATCTGACCCAACTCAACTATGTTCCCTAGATTGGGACAATTGTCTATAGCCAAAACAGCCCCACAAGGTGAAGTTGGTGCTTTGCTTCAGCTGGACAATAGTGCAAGTCCAACAGATGTATTTAAGTTGAGATCTGGACTGCTGCTAACCAATTCTTTTGCTGATGTTTTTAGATTGCTTCCTATTCAAAATGTTCCATATAAGTAGTACGAACGGAGCATTTTACACAACCAAAGAACTGCAATTAAAACTAAGTGACACAGCCAACTGTACATTTTTACCAGCCATAGCACTAGATCTTCCTAAGTCTCATATAAACATTCCCAGTTACGTCTTGAAAGTGAACAAAAACTAAGTATTAAAACAAATCCAATTTATTTGATCAAATATCATAGTATTTTCCATTATGGCATTGCAGGCTAACCGCCTGCTGATGGAAAGGAATCTGTTAGAAAGAGGACAGAAGCAATTTTCAGCAGTCACCTGTACCCTTTTCAGTGCCGCCCTGAAGTCTGCTCCAAGGGGGTTGGAGGATGCCCTGGAACAGATTTAGAAGGAGAGCTGTGTACTGCACAAGAGAAGTGTACTGCAGATAATTGCCTTCCTTCCAGTTCCATTGACTAATTCTCTTCCATCCTCCGACAGCCACCACCGGATAGCACATCAGGCAATATTTAATAAATCCACTAAGAACAACTGCACAAGGTTGTGTTGGACAAGTCCACTTCATTAAGTGGACTGTGCTCATGGCTGCAATCTGCAGCCCACTTACAACAGAGAAGGCTTGTTAATGGGATTGGTGTGGTATGCGGGAGTGTGGCTGATGACAAATTAAGCAAGTGCTAGGTTAACCTAAAATGTGGCAATGCTTTTTCACTTCACCATTAAACCATTTTCTCATTTTCTCATTCCAACAGGTGGTGAGAAATTACGAAATTATCTAGAGTCCCATCAAGTCCTACATTCTATTTGACTGAATGACAAAATCAGATTCCCTTCTATTATAAGAAAAATAGCCTCGGTATTGCTTTTCTCAATATTTAGGCTTATTATGCAAGACCAGATGAACAAGCTGATGGGTTGAAAAGTCATCATAACATGCCGTCTCCTTTGAACTGTTCTCATTTCTTAGCTCAACAAAATGTTTGCATTTAACCTCTGCTGTATTGAAACTATACTACTTGGGAGACTCCCCATAGCAGAGATGGTACAGGGGGAGGATTAAAATTGCCCTCAAAACTGGTTAAAGTCATTTGTAGCCCTAGAGAAACAATTTAAAGAAGAGTAGCGATGGAAATTACTTTATTACTGGGGGGGAGGAATTTCAGCTATTTCTTTTTGTGGCCACATGCAAAATGTATAGCTAATGATGTCATGCAGAAGCACCCTGACTCACTGTACCACCAAGCTGTGTACATTTAAAAGTGAAGGATGGAAAAGATCTAGAGAAGACGGGGAGATAATTATGAAGGTGGGCGGGCAGAGAAGACTAAATAGACTGGGTAGGACTGCGCTAAGAAACCCGACAGATTGGTATACCTCTATCAGTCACCACTTTCAATTGCTTAGGGCACCCTAGATAAAAAAAGCTGCGTTCTTGATGACCCATCAGGCTACATATCCCCATTTCCCCCACGTATATATTTTCAGTCACTTCATATTTATAACGATATCTGAAAAGTTTTAAAAACTATAAATAGCGCATTAAATACATGTACTCTTTACACATACAGACTTTTGCAGAATATAATCATTGCAACAGTACTTCCTCAATCTCGTCTTCCAAGTAATCAAAAGCCTTCACTGCTGGTCTGCTCGCTGTGTGCTGCAGTCGGTGCCTTTTGGGATTGAAGTTTTTCCCTTCACTGAAGAAAAGATCGCCGTCGTCTTTTACATTGACCGTAGAGCCTTTATCCTTGGAAACCATTGTTTGGGCTGCTGTCTTGTCGGAAAGTACCCAAATCATTTTTCTTAGGTGGAGTGATGGTGCTGGCACCGCTTCCAAACAGCTGCTCCATTAAGTTGGCCTTTTTATCTCTCTTCGTGTGGAGACCCAAGTCTTCCTTAGTGGGTTCGTCAAGGAAGTCGCTTTTTTGATTAGCCCAACTTGGCCTCCCTGATACTTTCCCAAAAGAAGGTACATAGCAACCAAATGTCAAATTGCTGCTTGGGCTTGTAGTCTCTAGATTTTGCTGTTTCTGGATTTCTCCTTTCGTAGCCGTATTGTGCTGGCCGTATTCCAGAAAACCATTGAATAATTTCTCAGTTGCTTCTGAGCTCTGGTACGGCCTCTTACTTTTTTCCAAGGAATATGGTATAGTTACAGTATCCGAAGTGTGCTCCTGTGAAGTAACTTTTATATTGATCTGCGTTTCCTTGTCAATTTCATACATCTTAGAAAGCAGAATTGCCTTCCGTCTTTCCTCTTCTTCGCTTTCATTATTTTGCATCCCATTTCCCAAACTATATATGTCTGTCTCCAATTTTGCTTTTTCTTCTTTTTCCGGCAGAAGACTATTTTCCCTCTTTTTTCTCTCAGATTCTTCCTTTTCCCATTCTGTGGGTTAAAGCATCAACAGCATGGACTTAGAATGATAAGTTATTATGTTAGTCACCTTTGTGAATGACTTACAATCAAACACATTCTTGGTTTATACATAACCCAAGGCGTACTTGCTTATTTTACAGAATTCCATTCCCCTTTGAGTTCAAACAATTATATAAAGCTCAGTTTTGATTGATGTTGTCACCATCAGGCTTTTGCAAATGATCTACAACTATCCCTACAGCTCAGGGATGAGGAGCCCGTGGCCCTGCAGAAATTGTTGGACTCCAACTTCCAACATCTTTGACCATTGTCAATGCTGGCTAGGGCTGATAAAAGTTCAGAGTCGAAATGCAAAAGAACTCCATTTACTCTGAAGTCTGTGGACCAGGTGAAATACTATTTCCACTTGAAAACTTAACATCATATAAAGCTCACCATTCCCGCCCCCCTGAGCTCTACTTTTTTACTGGAGTTTTGGTTGCTTTTTGAGAATTGTGCAGTGAGGTTGGAACCCCATGTTTAGTTAAACATGCTTGAGCCCATGTGCCATGACACAGCAGGTATGGGGAACATACGTGGGATTCACCATGCCTGGTAGCCTTCCACAACCAATAATTGCACTTGGTTCTGCACACATTTCTCAGGTTTGACTTCAGTGGCATTGTAAACGCATAAACTGAAAACCGGAGCAAAATTGTTCCACAAATACAATGACCTAGACTGTGTTGGTACTGAAACAACTCACCTGTCACTGTTGATAAAAACATCCCTCCACAATGTGCAAAAAATACAAGTTTCCTGTATTGAAGCTTAACACTACCCTTTCTAAAGGAAATATAATTCCAAAGGACAATTCTTGTATGAAATGAAAAAACAAAATGTTAATGGCATGTTTATCTACCTTGTTGCACTCCTTTAAATAAATGCAGAAGATGAGAATTCAGTATAATCTGAGAAGGAACAGGGCTAAAAAAATGTGTGAGCGGAATGACTTCTGCTGGTACAATAGGGCTCCCTCCTCCTTGTATGTACTCTGTGTTGTCCACAAATCTACCCCAATAAATAGATCAGAACAGATTTGGAAGGCATGCAGGGGGCGGGGGGAGGAAAAACAAGCCCCACTGCACGGCGTATGTTGTTCTGCCCACAAAGAGGACTATTTTGAACACAGCCCATAATCTTTTCACAAGCAGCACAGCCAATAAATACTAAGAATCACACGTTTTATTTTCTTCAACAAAATTAAAATTTCCTATGCTTACTAGCATGAAGTGTTTCACATATGAATTAATATCCTGCCTACTAAAAGAAAGTGCAATCCTGCACATGTTTACTCAGAGTAAGCAGTAAGTCTTATTCAGTCCACAGAGCCTTACTTCCAAGTGAAAAGTGGATAGGATGGCAGCCTCCGGTTGCAAATTTAAGTGCATTTTCTTACCATCTCTTAGTTTCTTGGCTCTCTCTTCCAAGGCCTGCAGTTCTTGATCACTTTTCAGCCTTTCCTCTCTTTCTCTGTTCTGCTCTTCCTTGAATCGTTCTGTTTGTTCTTTCCAGTCTTTAATTGACTGTTCCTGAAGGAAGTTTTAAATATAGAATTGAAGGGTGGAATATAACGTCACATTCTTCCCGTTGTTCCATCTGTGCAGGCGTGCCTGATCAAACAGTACCCCCTCCCCTTGTGTGCCCTTGCAAAACCAATTTTTAGGGCATGGGGGCAAGGGAGGAGAGGGGAGAAGCCCTATTGAGCAAGCGGAAGTCCTTGTGCAGGGCTTCCATGGACAGGTCTGGTTAGGTGAATGCTGCCTGAAGGATTATTTTTTTTAAAGCTATTTGGAAAAGGATATGCTATAGCCAGTAGATTCAATGGCATTATATTAATTTCCACTAATGGAAGATTTGGCATCATATCATAGCCGTACAGAGCCTGATCCTCAAAGCAAATAAAAGACATCACAGGGGAAACAGTTAAGAAACAGTTAAGACTGTTCAACTTTCCCCCAAACCTACTGTCTCTTCAGGGCAAATCCTCCACTCACTTATCACTGGATGTGCTCACAACACTAATTTATATATTTATACACCACTGTAGCATCAAAATATACAGCAGTGGTTTTTTAAAAACATAAAACAGCTCCAGCTCATTGCTCCTGGAGTCAGTTTTGAAAGGAGAATTCAAACACTGAAATGGTACACTTAAGAGCCTATGGGGAAAAAGAGATGGGATAGCCTCTCTTTCCTTTTCTGTTCTCTAATATAGTGGTACCTCGGGTTAAGAACTTAATTTGTTCTTAACCTGAAACTGTTCTTAACCTGAAGCACCACTTTAGCTAATGGGGCCTCCTGCTGCCGCCGCGCCACCAGAGCACGATTTCTGTTCTCATCCTGAAGCAAAGTTCTTAACCCAAGGTACTATTTCTGGGTTAGCGGAGTCTGTAACCTGAAGCGTACGTAACCCGAGGTACCACTGTATGCAGTGTGCTCTGTCCACCCCCTTTTGCTTCTCCACCCATGTTCTCCTCAATCCCACAGTACAACATCCTGATGGCAGTCATAACATTTTCAGTATCTGGATCACACATGAAAATTGGGGGGTTGGGGGGCAAAAACCTGTGAACTCCAGGGCATTTCCTCAGAAACAAGGCAGAGGATTATATCTAATCCAAACATTCAATTATTATTATTCCCCGCCCCCCAATCAGTGTAAGGGTGCTGAATGCTGGATGAGCTCCCCCACTGCACAAGGCTTTTAAAGTGGTCAGCCAGCTCCAATCTTCTTTCTTCAGCTCAGTGCTGGGCAGAGAGCAGAGGTTTAAATATCTTCTCTGAGCCCAGTGATGGGATGGAGATGAGTGTGGTATGTGCATGAGTGAGAGGCCTCTGTGCCTGTGTGTGCGAGAGAGAAAATGTATGCTGTGAGCTGTATGCTTTGGGAATGTCTATGAGAGAGCACAGCCCCTTTTGGCCACGACCACCACTAGCATGTGACCCTTGGAGACTGGATCAATCCTGAATTTGTCCTTTACATTGTTTGGGAGTCCTCTCATTAACAAGCTCATACTTTCAGTCTGCGTTACCTTCACCCCAGGTACAAAGGATAACAAGTCTCATTTTCAACCATCCTTTAGGAACTTATCCTTATTGCACTGGGAACAGTGATTTGCAGAATGCGGGCTAAACTCACCATTCTGAGATGTGTGTCATCTTCCTTTTCCTCCGGTATTCCATCAGAAATAAAGTCTGGTGGTTGAGGAAATTCTACTGGAGAAGAGCATCCAGTAGTCTGGACTCCTTTTGTTATCTGTTTAGTATTCTTATTAGAAGCTGTAAATAAATGAATGCTCAATTCACACCACTTTTAAAATAGATTAATTTTAAACAGTCTAACATGAAGGCCAGTGTTTCCTTAGTCATCTGAAGTTCCTAAACAATACAGTCATACCTTGGAAGTAGAATGGAATCCATTCCGGAAGTCCATTCAACTTCCAAAATGTTCGGAAACCAAAGCGTGGCTTCTGATTGGCTGCAGGAAGTTCCTGCAGGAAGCCCTGTCGGACATCTGGGTTCCAAAGAACGTTCACAAACCGGAACACTCACTTCTGGATTTGCGGCGTTTGGGAGCCAAAACATCCACGTTCCAGGGCATTTGGAATCCAAGGTACGACAGTACTAACCTGATAGTCAGGTGTCTGTCTGTGGAATAAGGGAAGCAATTTTCAAGTATTCCCCCCTTTCCCAAAAATCTGCTGTAGAGTGTTGGGGGACCCTCCAGGGCAGATTTCAGGGCAGATGAAGGGTTTTGCAGGGAGAAGGAGGAATCACCAGAAGTTGGTTCTCTCACTGTTCCACTGATGGAAGCCTTAGCTGAGCAACACCACTGGATATAACTCAAGGCCCACATACTAGAAAATGTATAATGGAATCTGAAGCTATGAAGGGGGAAAGTTACATATCTTTGGAGGGTAGTTTTCATTCCCTATCAAAACCAATGTATTCAAAACTCAAACCTCTTGATGTGTCAGCCCATCTCATTCATTACCACTCTAGACCTCATTATTCTTTTAAGTATATTCTTGCCATACAATGACATTCATTGAATTTTTAATTGTGCCACTTCAGGATAAATATCATTTTGATTAAAAAAAACCTAAACATTGAAAGGATAAGTTGTGGGGTCAAAATTCCAGAAATACTGGAGGCGTTGATCATTATTGTCTTATATGACCCCTGAAACTCAGCTTGGCCATTATATTTGCTTATAAAACTTTCCAGAAAGCGTTTACCTTTTCTCCTTGGTGCAGAATCAACATCTTTTTTGGGTGAAACTTTTAACATCCGATTAGCATATATATTTTTTGCATCTAGTTCTCTTTCTTTTTCCTAATAAAAAAATGTGAATTGTCAAAAGGCTAATCAGAAACACTTCTTCACTTTCCTTGTTTTACAGAATTTCTAGATACGATCTTCAAAAAAGTTATGTACTAAAAATATTTGCTTTTCAGCCTCTCTAACAATTATTTTGCAAGTCTTGCTTTACAGTGTGCTTTACTTCCTGACATACAATGAAGACACAACTGGCGGTGTAAAATGAGCAAATTTGCCTATAAAGGACAATACAAAAACAACAACAATTTGTACCCTACCCAACTGTTTGGGTTGCCCTAGCCACTCTGGGTGGCCTCCAACATATATAAAAGCGTAACAAAACATTAAACATTAAAACGTCCCTATACAGGGCTGCCTTCAGATGTCTTCTAAAGGTAGTATAGCTACTTGTCTCCATGACATCTGATAGGAGAGCATTCAGTAACAATAATAATATTCTTATTCTTATTTTATTTTACATAAATTTATTTATATAGCACTAGCCAAAGTATTATTGTTGATGCAACTCCAGATCCACATCATGTGGAATGACAACATTCATCTTGCAGTATGTCTGCTTCAATGAAGAAACATACAACTATGAAAGACAAGAATGGTTTTAGGAATACACTCACTACAGCCCCCTAACAGGAGTTGCCACTGCAAACTTATTCACTCAACACTTGAGAAACACTCAATCCTGTTCATGAATGCTGCAGTCACAGTTATGACAATGGAAGTCACATGAGCAAGGTGCATAATGACACACAAACACTTCTGTGGAATGCTCTGGCAAGGTTTTCTCCATGTGCTTGGGTTGAATGCATGCTGCTGAGCGATGCCCCAAAGCAGTGACCTTTTTTTTTTAGCACAGCACAGCAACTTTATAATCTGTTCAGCTGTAGTCCCCAGTCTGTGTCTGACACCCACTGGAGTGCCCAGGCAGATTCTCTACAACCAACTGGAGCTCATTTAGAGTGCCATTATTGTGGAGTCCTTGAAAAAAACTAACTTCGCCTGTACAGGCATATTCTGTGCTGTGGGGTGTTTTGGAATATATATCACATCATTCAAATGCATAACCATGCCATCCATTTGGTTAAAGCTCAAAATACTACCATGGTGCAGTCCCGATGCAACTCCTGGGCCACCAGTGGGTCTACCTTGGTCCTGGAAAATCATGTGCTAAGGCTGTTCTATTCAAGAAAAGTTGCAGTTTTTACCTTTAATTTTTGACCTAGCCGTTGGACTTCCTCTTGGAGAACTTTATTTTCTTCCTGGGCATCACATAATTTCTTTTTCTCAGAATGCAACTGTCTTTGGAAACTACTATTACTGAGGTCAAGGTTCTTCTCCAAGTCCTGCAATTGAATGTATCAGAAATATCAATTTCTCCAAACGTCTGTTAATTTTCCAAACTTGGACAACATGAAATAGTTATTTAACGAGAGAGGGGTGACACTGTGACAAGTTCTTGGTTGTCAACCCTTGGGCACAGGACCTTCCTCAACACCAATCTTCATGGTGGTGCAAGGAATCTTGCCCATTTATTTTACAAAATGGTATGTTATTTCATTTTACTTATATTTTATTTATCTCGACATTTTTATCCTGCTTTCCCATGAGAAAAATCAAACTCAAGGCAGCTTATGCATAAAAATATAGAACAAAAGGGAAAAAAATCCTGATAACGAAATGAAACAAACTATCAGCAGTAATTTAATCATCATCATAAACAGCTTCATAAAAAGCAGCAGCAGGAAACCAACATATCTTCAAAGACTTTGTTCATCCCTTTAATTATGCTTTTGTAAAATTATACTTTGTTTAAATCTTTAATTCAACAATTAAGGTTAGATCCAAAGGTGCCCTTCTGTTCATCGAAGGGGCACTTTCATGAATGGAAGGGATCTTTGATTCAGTGGAGGCATCTACAGAGGGAAGGTGGGGAGGCAATTTTAGCCAGCTGCCCATCCTTCATGGTGTTCCAGAGGACTCCAAACGTTTTTTTTGGGGGGGGGGGCGGGGGGACACAAGGATGGAGGAGATGGACAACTGGCAAAAAAAAAAAAAGGCTGTCTTCCAGTAGCAAGCACTGGGTGAGTCACATCATGAGGGGAACTCTGCTCACAGGATCGTAGGATCCAACCCAGTAAATAAAATGGAAAGATGGATAGGGAGGTTCCCTTTATCTATTATGCAGTCCTATACATACCTACTTAAATAAATAAATAAATAAATAAATATTTAGAAGTCCCACTGAGTACATTGGAATATTATTCCCAGGTAAGTGCATATAGGAATGCAGTCGTTGAGATTTCAAGACGTTGTGAATAACAACAGCATTAATGATAGGTGGAGCATAATTATTGGTGAAATTTGCATTTACTATATTTACCGTATATACTCGTGTATAAGCCGACTTTTTCAGCACATTTTTTATGCTGAAAAAGCCCCCCTCGGCTTATACTCGAGTGAGGGTCCCACCCAAGCGAATTTCTGACAGCGGCAAAGGCGGCGGCGGGAGGAACGAGCAGCCTGAAAGCAGCCCTTTTGGGCTGCTTTTTCTTCCTCCACCGCTGCCGCCCCCAGCCTCTGCCTCTCAGCAGCACCCTAGCTAGGCAGGGGGAACGGGAGGGCTGGGGGGGAGAGGTTTGTGGTGTGGTGAACCGGCTTATACTCGAGTCAATAAGTTTTCCCAATTTTTTTGTGGTAAAATTAGGTGCCTCGACTTATACTCGGGTACATACGGTATATATACATTGCATTTCTTCCCCCACCCCCGCTATACCTTTTGACAACAATGGCTTGGCTATTTCTATATATGCAATCCTATACCAAGAGAAAATTTATTAAGAATGATAAAAAGTAGTTTGAGTGTCGTCATCCCCCGTCCCCTACCTTAATTCTCTTCTCAGTGTCATCCAGCCTGTTTTCTGCTAAAGCCAGCTTCTTAGCCAGCTCATCGCGTTCCGGGAGGTGCCTGTCTTCAGCAAGCCTTCTCAATTTTTGCAAATTGCTTTTGGCCTTGTACAGCTCCTCCTCCGAAGCCCGGAGTTTCCGCTCCGTCGTTTGTTCTCTTTCCTGAGAGCGTCTCAGGCGCTCCCTCAGTATCCTCATCTCGTCACTGTGCCGTGCCAGGAGCTGAGAGATTTCGTTTTCGGTGTCCTCAAACTTATGCAGGGCTTTCTCGTGCCTGTACTGAAGCCGCTTGAGCGCCCTGTTCTCTTTCTGAAGCTCATCCAGCTTGACATGCAGTTCCGTCAGCTCATTACGGAGCTCGTTGATTTTCAGCAACCTGGCAGAAAGAACTCTTTTTGTAACTAGGCTAATATCTTTGGCAGGAGACTCCCTGTTGAGGCTCTGGGAGCGAAACCCCCAGCGGATACCTCTTTTGCTGGGCGCATATTTGGAGGCAATTTGCTTAGTGCCTGCAACGAAAGAAGATGTTGGTGTTACAATGAAAATCAGCAACCCACCGCTATACTTCTAAGACACAAAAGAGCTCTCCTTGCAGGCATGTTATAGGCATGTCCCTTAGTAAAGGTAAAGGGGACCCCTGACCATTAGGTCCAGTCGTGACCGACTCTGGGGTTGCAGCGCTCATCTCGCTTTATTGGCCGAGGGAGCCGGCGTACAGCTTCCAGGTCATGTGGCCAGCATGACTAAGCTGCTTCCGGCGAACCAGAGCAGCGCACGGAAACGCCGTTTACCTTCCCGCCTATTTATCTACTTGCACTTTGACGTGCTTTTGAACTGCTAGGTGGGCAGGAGCAGGGACCAAGCAACGGGAGCTCACCCCATCGCAGGGATTCGAACCGCCCACCTTCTGATCGGCAAGTCCTAGGCTCTGTGGTTTAACCCACAGCGCCACCCATGTCCCTATGTCCCTTAGTAATAGGCAACAAAAGTTCTGTACCATTTCTAAGACATTAAACACATAATTTCGGCTCTATTTCCAGAGAAAAGGAAATAATTCCTCACTGTATAGCAAAGCTGGTTTAGCAAACTTTCAATCATTTACTTCTGGAGATCTATTCTAAAGGTGTTTTGATCCCAGCAAATACCAGCAATAGTTGGTTATATCCTACTGTTGTGCCTCTACTGATGGAAGATGAAGGAGGCAGTTTTCAGAGATTTGTCCAGTCCGCCCCCCTGGCACTTAGCTCTCCAAATCTTCCCCAAAGTCCTCCAACTTTCTGGAGAAGATATTGGGCGAGCGGGGTTGGATTGCAGGGGAGAAGGGAATCGCCAAAAATGGCCTCCCTCTCGGTTCTCCCGTCAGATACCTTCCAACAGCAGAGATTCTACACAGCCACAGCCAGAGGCTGCTGCTCAAGAGAGCACAACAACTGAGCAAGTCAGACCAAAAACTGTGTAGTGGAAAGGAAGGAGAACGGCGCCAGAACAGCTCTGCGCAGCAAGTGGGTCAGTCTTTTGAGCAAATGCCTCAGCAAAATGAGGGAAGAATTAGGTTTCAATTGCTCATTTAGAACTTGTGGAACTACAGGATCCCCCCCCCCCCACTGACAGAAAACTCTTTTCTTTTTCATTCTTATTAAAAATAAAAACAACTTTGTATAAATCCATAATATGAAAAATATAAGACTATAAGTAATAGAGCACTGTTTGACCTACAGTCATACATACAACTTCTACGCTTACACAAGAAGGAAAGGTTCAGCAGAACTTATTTTACTTTTGCATATGTTTAGGATTGCAGTTTAGCTTAGAAATCGTGTTTTACCTACCACTTACCTTGGTAATGTGCGAGGCTTTTCAAAGTCTGCGATTTGTTGTTTTTTTCTCCAGCGTTTGTAGACTGAGTGCTTATCGTTGGCGAGTGGTCAGAGCCGTGAGATGACTCGTCGTCAGAATAGTAAGAGTTACTGCTTTTATCACTGTCTGATTTTCTGTTGGGTCCAGAATCGAGACTCCTTCCTCTCTCCCCCATTCTAAATAAAAATAATGTTCAAGACCTTTCCTCAAGGAATATTCATCTTGCCAGAGGACGGCTCACAGAGTCACAGTGGAAGTGCTGGCTGGCTGCTTGCCAATTCATCATTACCCTACATTCAGAAGAAGGGTTGCCGGCTCTCCCTTTGGCAGTCAGTAGTTTTGTTCAGAATGCATGTTTGATTCTGAATTCAGAGAGGGGAATGAAAGTGATTTAGCGTTCCATTTTGTAACTTTTTGAAATTATTTATTTATTTATTAGAATTAAATACTGCCCTTCATCATAAGATCTCAGGGTGGTTCACAAGATAAAAATACAAGGTAAAAGCACAAATACATAGTTAAAACAAAAAGAACCAAACAACAACCCATCTGCCACAAACCCATATTTATAACGGATAAAATAATTCGCAAAAAAAGTAGCTAACTACTTCTGCATCCAACACTGAAATTAGTGTTTGTGTGTATCAGAGAAGTGCAGTTTTGACTTGTTCTTTAAAAGCTGCTGTCAAATATGTACACTTTTGACATTCCTGGTAATGGTAACATGGCAGAGGAGACAAAAAAATTAAAAAGTGTTTGAAGTAGTGCATTACATCACTTGAAAACAAAATAATTTAAAAGGTATGGTATCTGGATTGTTTAAATAAACAAGGAAACAAACAAGGAAACAGAGCAGAAGAACCCATCTGTTCATCAACCATTAATTTATAAAAATTGAAAGTATTTTGATTTCAGAATAATCAAACATTTTCAAGCTCTACATAAGTTACTATTTAAGATTGTGGTAATCAGATATTTTAATATTTTGAATACTTTCCCTACCATTACAATAGCAAACCTATCAACAACAACAAAAGGTGAAACTAGACCACGGGTGGGGCCTTTCTATACGTTGCTGGACTACAATTCCCATCTACCCCCAGTCCAGCAGCAGCAGGAGGGCCACAGGTTCCCCAGACCTGGTTGAAATCAAGCATTTGTTTCCTACAATTGCCAGCGATATGTAGAGAGATCACAAGCCAGGCCTGCAGGTGATGGTTCTGCCCTGTATGTTATCAGTGTATGGCACCTTGGAATATAGTGTTAGGATTTTTATCCATCCGTGCAGTTCCAGCAGTAGCACTATGTTTGTGTATATCATGTGAGTGTCTGAGAGAGCGTGAGACAGGAAGTCTGAGTACTGTTGGAGTACAGTGGTACCTCGGGTTAAGTACTTAATTCGTTCCGGAGGTCCGTTCTTAACCTGAAACTGTTCTTAACCTGTAGTACAACTTTAGCTATTGGGGCCTCCTGCTGCCGCCGTGCCGCCGGAGCACGATTTCTGTTCTCATCCTGAAGCAACATTCTTAACCCGAGGTACTATTTCTGGGTTAGCGGAGTCTGTAACCAGAAGCGTATGTAACCCGAGGTACCACTGTACTGTTGGAAGTTAGTTTCACTTCTGAAAGTGTTTTTTTCTGTTCTGTACTGGTACTCAAAGAGCACAGACGTGCTGATGGATTCTCTGTATATAGATTGTAAAATAAAGTAGTTTAGAGAAGAAGAAGAGGAGGAGTTTGGATTTGATATCCCACTTTATCACTACCCGAAGGAGTCTCAAAGCGGCTAACATTTTCCTTTCCCTTCCTTCCCCACAACAAACACTCTGTAAGATGAGTGGGGCTGAGAGACTTCAGAAAAGTGTGACTAGCCCAAGGTCACCCAGCAGCTGCATGTGGAGGAGTGGGGACGCGAACCCAGTTCACCAGATTACGAGTCTACCGCTCTTAACCACTAAACCACACTGGCTCTCTCACCACACTAGAGCTACTGATTGACTCTTTCTTCTGCTATGAGATGCCAGAAGACGAGTGTGCTCCTCTCAGGAGGGAGGGGTCACTTATCACCGGCCTCTCTGGACTGAGGGAGATTTATAGCCAGAGTGTGACCACCAGAGAGATGCCCCGAAGTCTTGGGAAGCTGGAGGTCTTCCCGGGCGTGTTTCCAACATATGGAAGCTTCATTTAGCTATTGTGGCTAAAAGCTGTCACCTGATTTCTCCTAAACTTGTCTAATACGTTTAAAAAGCTGCCTAAGATCATGGAAAGCACCAGGAGCCTGGGTTTGGGGATCATCAGGCTTGTGGGATGCTGCTCCCAGGGCAACATGGTGAAGAAGAGGAGGAGTAAAGTGGGAACTTTGGTGCAGTGTGCATCAGCATTCTGCTCCTTCACGTTAGGCCATAGTTAAACATTAACTATAGTTTAATGTGCCATGTGGACCAGAACGTTATGCGAAATAATTATTTCCCAGGGTAGGCTCAAGTGTTAAACTCTGAAGAAATGGAGCAGGGGTTTGATTCATTATAAGCAGCTTCCTATGTCCATGCATTATTTTTTTAAAAAATGTACCCTGCTTTTTACCATGTAGGTCTCAAAGTGGCTTACAACAACAAAAGAACACAAAATTTAAAAACAAATTAACCCTCCCAAATTCAAAATCTTCTACTTGATCCACCTACTTGATTCAACCCTAAATTCCAGTGGGGCCTGTAGAATGCCCTCCCATCAGATGTCAAGGAGGTAAGTACCTATACAGCCTTTAGAAGACATCTGAAGGCAGCCCTGTACAGGGAAGCTTTTTAATGTTTCATTATGTTTTTGTATATGCTGAAAGCCACCCAGAGTGCCTGGGGCAACCCAGTCAGATGGTTGGGGTACGATGATGATAAAAAAATGTCTCTATATTGTTCAAGATCATATTTTAAAACTTTGTCATTTGAACAAAATGATTCAGAGGTTTGTAGGAAAGGAACTCCAGCCTATTAATGATTTTAGTAACCATTCTACAAAATTTCACTGAGTCTTCTAATGAAATCAACCTCAAAATACTTACAACTGTCTGAACCTACAACTTTATGAATCCTTTTCTCTTAATAACTTTATTCCTTTGGATAGAAGTAGGATCTCCCATGTGGCTCCTGGGTCACTCATCCTCAAGGGCCTATTTTCATTCCCTAGGGCAAGAGGATTCAAAGTTCCTATTGTTATGAACTCCTTAACTAGCGTTCCATTCATTTCCACAGATGTGAACCATCTCATGCTACACATGACCCTAGCCTGTAACTGCAGGAGTCACCTTTCTAGCCTCCCACACATTCTGGCTATGATCCAGAAACCATTTAATCACTAAAATCCCACTGAAGTCCTTGGAACTACTCCAGAATATGTAGTTTGATTAGTCCAACCTCTGTGCTTTTTCAGTGGAATTTTGATAAGAAACACTTATTAGGGAAAACAAAGTGGTAGAAACTAGAATGTCCTTCTCAGTGAGTATATTATGCAGAAAAGAATAGGCAGAGATTTTAGTTTTAATATGTTATTGGTGTTTTCATTGAAAAGAAGCATTTTTTCCCAATATGAGAAACACATTTTAATCTAATTAGATGAATATCCACACTCCTGTATATAAATACAGTATGCCTTGTTCAGCTGATATGGTAAGATTATAATGAATTAAACTGAATTTTCTAATGCAGTTTGAGAGGCTACAGAAATAGTCAATGAGTATCTCCAAGCAAATTTAAAAGTACTCTTCTTAGTTCAAACACATTGATTACTATTTTCCCCAACATTAACATACTCAAAGGGCGGAAAATGATTAAAATAATAAGAACCATTAAATGTAGCATCAATGAAACAAAAAATAAATAAATAAAATGTCACCTGTGACTGGAGAAGCCTTTGGAAACAAAGATATAGATGAGAATATTCTGATAGCTAAGGAAAGGTTTTGAATAGTACTAGGACAATCTTGCATTTCCCCATTCTCCTTATTACTTAAGCTTGTGATTGATTTTAATTTGGGGGTGGGGTTACAAATGCAATCTTTAGCTTGAAAATTATGCTGGCAGCAAGATCTGTGTAACTGAAAGACTAAATCAAGATGCAATCAGTTATAGGTAGAAAAGAAAGTGATTGATATGGGGGGCATTTAATATATGCATATTTTGCTACTGAACTATTTGATCAGGCATATTATTCTACTTTGGCTACCCTGATGACTGTATATGTATACGTATTTGTATATGTATACATACAAACACACCATATATGGCCAATGTGGAAATTAAACTGAACTGAGTATTAAATGTTAAAAAGAAAATCACCAGCTGTCAGAATCTTACAGCTTACAGAAAATGCTATGATGAAAATACATATTTCCACTGCTGTGCTCCCACATTATTTTGCTATTTTCGCTACATTTTTTCAAAGGGAAACATACAGAAAAATATAACATCAAGGAAATTAGTCTCAAGAGAAGTTATTAACAAAGTAGTCCGGGTGATGTTTTGTCAAAGTATCCTTTTAGTCCTAAGGCTTAACAGCACTGCAGAACAAACAGGAGCAGAAAATCCAAACCCAACAGCAACACATAACAAAACAAACACTGCTGTTACACAACTGTGGCTTTATAGGCAGATTTACCAGTGTAAATGGTCAAATCAGTAAAAGGGTCTTTGAGGGTCCTTGCCAACTCAATACAATTGTGGATTTTATAAATTAGGAACAGGTTTCTTTTCCGTTTGAAATCCAGAATATTATCTGCCAAGTTTTGCCCAGCTTGGTACCCTGCCAACTTGTAAGCAATTTCATCATCCTAAAGAAGTACTGTTCATTTTAGAGGCTAATGAATTGCTTTGAAATTTGAGTTACTTCAGCAAGTATGAGGACTTTTATAATTAAGAAACTTCCTGGTCCATTGCCTTTAACTATCACGGAACACTTTCATTTAATTATGAAGTCATTTTAATTTCAGCACACGCAAGTTAAATCCTCAAGGTTATCTGCATTTCCTTGGCAATTTCGATAACATTGTTCAAAATTCCAGTCATTTACAGACTTACTTGCAAGTAATATGCATGTACTGAAATTAAGTCTATAGAAGTAACAACAGTACAATATAGTTAATAAAAGCCATGAAGGGCTATTTTTGGCCTTATTAAACTAATATCTCCATTTTCCTCATAGGTTTCATTTTCTAATGCATGTTCACAGGTACAGAGAACATGAGGCACTCCAAGTCTCTTTCTTAAGGAAGTTGCAGTACAGGATGTCAATGATGAACAAAGCTGACTTGTAGCTTTACTCTGCTTACTTGAAAGTAATTCCCACTACATTCAATTGAGCTTATTTCTTAACAAGTATGCTTAGGATCACAGCCTCAGCCTGCAATTCTGACCCATCAAAAATCAATGCCTCCTCCCCAGTTGAGGATATCGGATGTAACACTGTAATTCTCAGACTGTTACTCCAATGCAAACTCCATTTATTTCAGTGGGGCTTCAACTTGGCTTAACAGTATGAGGACTGAACGGATGGCACAGCAAGGGATTACAAAGAATTCTTGCAGTGAAGTGCAGAATTATTTCATCACATCTAATGGTCACTAATGGCAGTGAGAGCATATGAGTGATAGTGACCAAAGCAGAAACACCTCACATACAAAAATAATGGAAGAAACCTCACTGGTGAATGCAAGCTGGGAACAAGACTGTGTTTTCCTGGAATAATTTGGGTGGGGAGCCAGCACCCCTCCAGATGCTGCCCGACTCCAACTTCCATGAGCCCCAGCCAACACAGAGGGACAATAGGAAGTGTAGTTCAGTGACATCTGGAGGGCCAAAGGCGAGATAGGATTTGTCCTTTTTATTATTATTGTTGGGTGAACATGCTTGAAAACTTTTTGTTTCATTTTATGTTTATTCTATGTAGCTAGTTTTTAATGTTTGACAAGTATTTTAGTATTTTGCGACATATGTATACATACCGGCCAGTATTTGACAGAAGAAGATACATTGCTTTATGGTAAATAAACAAGGGATTCATGGCATCATGGTCAACAATATAAACAATCCACAGTTGGGAATCTAGTTACATGCTTCAACAAGAAAGTTCTGAAATAGCAGTATCTAAACGCACAATTCCTTACATCAATACCAGTGAATCTAATCCATGTTTACTTGGAATTATGTGCCACTGTGTTCAGTTGGCCTTCCTCCTTAGCATATGTGCTTAGGATTGCAGCGTAGGTGCCATAAATGTCTGCCTATGAATGGTTAACACATCTGCTCTCTGTTATTTTCTGAATATAAAAAATAGTACAAGTAACCAGACCTCAAATAACTGTGCTGGCAAAAATGTACAGCTTCTATGTATTCTGGAGTACTGAACTGGGAGTACCTAATTGACTTGTCCACAAAGTGAGAAAAGAGTTACGAAGACAGGCAGGTTTTAAGTTTACCACAACTACTAGTTTTGGGATGGTGGGGGTGGGGTGGGCAGGGGTAGAGAGGTTTTACGTTCAGAGATTAAATGAAAACAGCCAAGCATCTTAGGTGATCTTAAAAACTAACAGTCTTCAGCTGAAAATCTTAAATGCACTTACAAGGGAGTAGTGCCTATTGAACACAGTGGGAATTACTTCTGAATAAATATGCATAGGACTGCGCTGTTATTGTGGTGAAAATTTTCATAAACTAGAAATAGGCTTTTGTGAACACCACCCAAGCATTAAGTGTTATATGCTCAGTTGGCTTGTGCGGAAATACACACATAGAGATAAAAGAGTTGCAAGTGTGGAGAACAGGAGGCCATGAAACACAAGAGATTCAATCCCCAACCCTAATATATGCAAGATCAGAAATAAACAGTGCAATTCTATGCATGTCTACTCATGAAGGAAGTCCTGCTTCATTAAATGAAAATACTATCCACAGATCTCCAAGTTCCCAAAGGGGATGGAGGTGTTGGTTTGTGGCAGCGAACAAAGAATAAACAAAGAGGCACCCTAAGGACCAGCAAACTTTACTATGGAAATAAGGACTGGCACCCACTTCACCAGATGCGCTTCCAAATATTTATTTGTCTTCATCCCGCATCTGATGAAGCGGGCTAGGGTCTGTGAAAACACATATACCACAACAAACCTGTTGAGTTCCAGCGGCAGGGGTGCGTTGTCCTCAGGCTTGTTGGTTCTACACTTTGTGTGTGTGTATAGGACCTCAAGCTTTACCAACCAGATATCAACGACCTGCAGCTTGGAATTCAAAGAGCTGGGTGCCTCTGAGCACGTTAGGAGTCACGGGGTGCGTTTTCAGCACCAGAATTTACACTGGAGTTAAGACTTATGGCTTGCTTTTTAGCTTTTCTTCTTCATTTTTGCAGCCTAGTCCAGACAGTATATATATATATATATACTCTGTCTCTCTCTCTGTGTGTAATTGAGTCAGAAACCTTTGCTTTCATCTACTGCAAAAATATTTATTTTGCGCCCCCTCGCATTAAGGTGCTTTAAGCCTTTGGGAAACATTTGGCAAAAGAGGAAAGGAGGGAGGGAGGTTGGTGTTTTATGGGGATTGTTTGCGTTGTTTTTTTTTTTTTTGCACTGTTGCCTTTTGACATCACTCAGAGTTAGGAGGAGAAGGGGGGTACTAATATATCCGAAGAGCAACAGGCGCAGGCAGCCCCCTCCCGCCCCTCGGCCCGCCCCGGCTTTACCTGCCTCCTCGACCCCCTTGCACGAGCCAGACGGTTGCCGAGGCTCAGCTTAAAGGGGCCGCGCCGCCGCCACCATCTCGCGCGTCCCGGGATATTTACAGCAGGTTCCAAGGTAACGGGGGATGAGGCGAGAAGGAAAGGGGCGGGGACCAGGGCAGCAGGAGGAGGACCCGGAGCCCGATTATTTCCGCCCCGATTGGCCGCCTTCCTTGCCAAAACCCTCGCTCGAAACCCCAATCGCCGCGTGCGATTGGGCCGGAAGGGGCGGGCCGAAGTTGAAGGCTCTAGGGAACCTTCCATTGGACCGAAGCTTGGGGCAGGTGAAGGTGCTGATTGGCTGCTTGGCCGCTTGAGGCGGAAGTTCTCCGAAGCCGAAGGGAAGGAGAAGAGCAGCGGGGGTCGGGGAGCGTCCCATCCCAGCAGCTGGTCTCTCGGTGCCGTAATAAGGCTGCAGTTCTGACCCCACTTACTTGGAAGTCAGCCCCATGAAACTCAGTAGGGCTTGCTTCTGAGTAGACACGGGCCACATTCACGCTATATGTTTAAAGCGCCGTGGTACCGCTGTAAGGAGCCATGGCTTCCTCCAGAGAATTATGGGAGCAGTTCCTCTCCATAGGGAATTCTGGGAACTGTAGTTCTTCTGAGGAGAACAGGGGGGTGTCTCATAAACCACTCTCTGCTCCCTTGGCAAACTACAGCTTCCAGAAGTCTTTTTTTTTGGGGGGGGGGGAAGCTATGACTGTGGTGCCATAGTCAGTACGTTTTCCTCTAAAAAAAATGTTCAGGGGTACTCTCATTTTGACTCAGGAAAATCATAATTTGATAGTTCAAATAAATACAGCAAAAGGACAAAGATTCACAAAACGTTTAGGGGTATTCGTGTCCCAGCGTCCCCCCAGAAAAAAGCACTGGTCATAGTGCTTTAAATATATGATGCGAATGTGGCCATGATTAGGAGTGAGCTGTAAATCTGGTATTATTTCTCAAGTGCCTTGCAGGGCAATTCAATTCTGTCATTTGTGGTTTTGAATTGAGATTGTGAGTGTTTGTTTGCACTTTGTGTGTTAACTAGGTTGCCAATGCCACAATGTTTGAATTGCCACCAACATTGTCTTGGTCATTGTAGCTATTCCCTTTCAGGAAGTTGTCGCTTTTGTATTTCATTTTCTTCTGATCTCCAAAATCCCCCCTGGAAATACATATCTAGTTGTGTCCTTGGTGTCTGGCATTTGTTTGTACATAACTTGAAAAATTCAAATTTTCCTAGCTAAGCTTTGTACGTTTTTACACTTGTACGTTTTTACACTTAGGTACAGCAGTATTAAGTGCTGAGAGAAAATCTCTGGTACCAAAGTATTATTGCTAGATGTGATAATATATTGTCACTCACACTGGAGGACAGATGGAATCTACATATGTGAAATAAATAACATATATCGTCTAAGGGGATATACTAAATGAATAATTCCAAACAAGCATATTATATGAATGTAAAAACTACATTTGCCATAATCATAATGTAACTGATTTTAAAATGCTACCTTATGCTTCATATTCCATATTAACAATATTTACATATGAGTCAAATGGCAGGGAAGAAGCTTGAATGGCTTTTTAATGTCATGTATAAAAGTGCCCATATTTATTTTGTTACATTGAAGTGGCTCATAACCATTTAAAACTAGTACAATGGCCTTAAGAAAAAAGTATACAGAAGATAGCAGGATTAAACAAGAAACCAGAGGACAAACTATTAGTATCATCAAAAAATTATATTAGATTTTGACAGTGTTGAATGGAAAGTAGAAGCAAACCATTTTAAATTGCAGTGCAGGTTTTACATTTTAATTAAATGATCAGAAAATATAAAGGAACCAGTAACCCTAGTCAGAAAACTCTTTGCAAATATAGATTTAGGAATGCATTTACATTGTTGATAATACTGCCAATTCCTAGCTGGATTACAGGAAGTGAAGGCAGCCATAGGCAAATCTAATTGATCTTTGACTAAGATTGAATCAATCATTTGTTTTTAGCAAATGATGAAAAAACTAAACTTCCTTTTTTGAAATTTTGACAGCTTTCAAAAATGAAACAATCACCCCCCCTTCACATCCCATGTTTGTGAAATCAGAAGCTAACTCTCCCTCAGAGAATCCCACTGAATTTCACATGCAGGGCTGCCACCAGAATTGAGTGCTGCCAATGGACCCTGACCACAGGGCAAGATTAAAACATGCTGAGGCCCTAAACTATATCATGTTTAAGAGGCTCCATAACATTACCAAAAAATGTGTATTATTGTAACGAAACGGACAATGAAAATACAGTGGTACCTCGGGTTACATACGCTTCAGGTTACATACACTTCAGGTTACAGACTCCGCTAACCCAGAATTAGTACCTCGGGTTAAGAACTTTGCTTCAGGATGAGAACAGAAATCGTGCTCCGGCAGCGCGGCGGCAGCAGGAGGCCCCATTAGCTAAAGTGGTGCTTCAGGTTAAGAACAGTTTCAGGTTAAGAACGGACCTCTGGAATGAATTAAGTACTTAACCCGAGGTACCACTGTAGAAAGAACAAATTTTTATACATTGATGCCCAAGAAAATCTGCAGCCTAGGGTGGCACTCCTAGTCAATTAACTGGGCTAAAAGCCCAAGTGTGGCTGAGTATTGTACCAGAGAAAGAACTGTAGCATGAAATCTAGATGGGCAGTAAGGTGTGGGATGGACATTCCAAGAGTATTAGGGGTAGTAGACAGCCCAGGGTAAAGGTGGAATAAAGCTGTAAGACAAGACGTAGAAGCAGGAGATGAGGATTGGAATTGGAAAACAGGTAGCCAAAGGCCCTGGAGCTTGGAAGAGTAGCTCCAAACTTAAGGTTTCTCTTTTTTTAAAAAAAATAATTTTTATTAGTTTTCCAAGCATATAATAAAAACAAACAATCAAACAAAACAAAACAAAACATACAAACATATAAACATGTATACTTTCATAATCTTATCTTCCTACACCTTGCTTCCCGGACTTCCCCATACCTCCCCTTTTCTGCATCCTTGTTTTTACCTTTCTTCAGCAACCCTCCAACTGGTTAATTAATTCACTTTCATTCTAATTTCCTTAACTTATTGTTTACAGCTGCAATTCTCTATTTCTTAACACCTTAACATCTCATTACACTTCAATTTTACAACAATTTTAAAGATAAATTTTGAATTTCTTCCAGTCTTCTTCCACTGTCTCTTTCCCCTGGTCACGGATTCTGCCGGTCATCTCTGCCAGTCCCATGTAGTCGATCACCTTCGCTTGCCATTCTTCCAGAGTGGGTAACTCTTGTGTCTTCCAATACTTTGCCAGAAGAATTCTTGCTGCCAAACTTAAGGTTTCTCAAACTGGAGAGTGGAAAAGATCCAGAATGTGAAAAGGTATCTCACTTAATTACTAATGTGATGCAACAGCTTGGCCAATGGTCAGGATGATGGGAGTTGTAGTCCAACAATATATGGAGATAGGGCACCATGTTGGCTATCCCTGATTGTCTACAGCCTGTAGAACCAAGACATCCATTTTCCTAATGCCCACCTCTTGGTCTTTAGATGCCAAAACTGAATGGATGAAAGGGCTTGCAGCTCCTGAGCTGTTAGAGTGTTCAGGGCTTGAAACTCAAGACACTTAAGATGGTGGCCTTATGTTGCATGGTGCTGCATGCAATCCCGATCATAAAAACTGTTGGATCTGCTTCAGCCTTCTGTCTCTGGCAGTGGCCAACCATAAGAAGTTTACAAGCAAAGCATGGTGGCATCAATAAATATTTAACTGCTAGTCCAGTAGATCAAGGGTTGGGAACCTTTACAACCTGAGGGCCACATTCCCTTCTGAGTAACCTTCAAGGGACCACAAGCCGAAAGGTGAGTGGGGCCAGGGGCATAATATGTAAAATTAATTGAAAGGTGGGGCCTGGGGTGAAAGGATGTAGCTGGAGAAGATGTGTGGCCTAGAGAGAGTAGCAAGGGCCAGATAGAGAGGTTAAGGTTTCCGAACCCCTGTGGTAGATAATATATTCAGGCCTCTGTCTTTTTTATTTAAGGGAATGGTGTAAGAAAAAATGTCTCATCAGTAGGGCTCACTTTGAGGATAGACATTGCCTGGGAAATGCCGTGTTTTAGGAGGGGTCCCACAGCTAGTCACCAGAGTGACTTGGCTGCCCTGGTGATGTCCAGTCTCAGATCACCTTTTTGCTGGTGACATTCCGCACTATTTTTGATTCATCCACTCAGATACAATTGCATAGTTTTATAAACTAGGGCATTTTTTTATTACTCTTATTTCCTGCTGCATAAGATGTTCAGCTGCTGTCGGCTTTCATAGCGCTGAGCTATTTGTAGCTTCCTCACAGGATTTTCCAATATATCCTCCTGACAGCAACAGCAGCAGAACTGCTCCTGTCACTACTGATATCCCTTTTGTACTTTTTGGCAGGCAAACATGGATGAGGCTCCTGTGAGCTGAACAGTGTTCCCACAGCATATCAAGGCATCAGAATTTGCATCGCCTACAGTGAATCGTAATTTACATTCAAGAAATAAGGCTTTCGTAATCTGTGAAATTTTAAGCCTTGCAAGGGAAAGCGCATATTTCTCTTTCTCTCTCTGATACACACACATATCACTTTCATAATTTTGCATTAATTATCATAACTTTGTTTCATGTCCTGGTTTTGATTTTGATCTCTCTTCAAGTTTTCTTTTATTTAGTGCATTTAAGATGTTGGACAACTAGAGTACAAAAACCAGTAGCACGCAGTATACATAATGGATGGAATTCAATAACTTATTCAAAGTAAATCCATCGAAATTAGTGAACATGCTAAGCTAGGTCCACTAATTTCAACGTGGCTAATCTGAGAAAAAGTTCGTTGAATTCCACGCTATGGAAAATGAGTCATTGATTTTTTTATAGTAGGGCTTTAAACTGTATTAACTGTGTTTACTTTGATATGTAAAAATAACACTTACCAATTAGAGAATAGACCTATGTAGCTCAGCATGATCATGAATAGTTAGACCAACACGCAAGAGAGATGGGTTAGGATCACATCATTTGGTTCCATCCCTTGCACTCAAGATTTTGTCACCCCAGAGGTTTTATATGATTTGATTTAGCTTTTATTGTACAACTTGTATCCTGAAAAAAAGTGGAAGT